TGAAATTAAAAATACAAGACCATCTATAACCACTCCACTAAAACGAAACACCTAGGTAGAAATCTAACTAAAGTGCACAAGACGTATATGCTAGAAACTTCAAAAGGCTGGAGAAAGAAGCTCTAAATAAGTGAGGAGATGCTGTGTCCATGGATTGGAAAACTCAGCCTAGTGAAGTGTCAATCCTCAGCAAATTGATATCCCGGGTTTTAATGCAGTTACTGTCAGAATCCCAGCAAGATTTTCTGTAGATATAAGCCAGGTTATTCTAAAAGTAAATGGGAAGACAAACTGTAAGAGTTAAGGCATTTTTGGAGAAGAATAAAGGGAGAGCATTTAGTCTACCCAATTTCAACATACAGCTAGAGTAATTAAGATTGTGCTCGGGGGATTGGGAGAAAGCACATAGATCAATAGAACAGAATAGAGAGCCCAGAAACAGCCCACGCAAGTATGAACCACTGATTTTTTGGCAACGCTGCAAAGGCAATTCGATGGAGGAAAGATAGTCTTTTCAACAAATGGTTGATGGAGCAAGGGATGTATCTTAAACAGTTTTCAGTTCAACAAAATACAATGTGTCTTGTGCACCTGCTTTGTAAGAGACACTGCTTCAAGCGCTAAGGGTACAGCAATGATCACAAAGGCAAGTCCCTGCTTTTGGGGTGTTGACGTTCTCATGGTCATGGGCCCCAAGAGAAATTCTGGGTGTTGGAGAAGGTATGTGGGCACCTGGGATCAAAGACAGGGTGGAAGGCAGCTCCAGGAAAGACATTCACCTGGCTAGATCTCCTTCTTTCCTCAAAGATGGCATAGTGGGAGGTCACAGGCTTTCGATGCTGGCGGACCCATGTCCCATCTCCTATCTCTGCCCCGACACAATGCTCACCTATCGATGACTACTAGGTGTCTTCCCTTCATCAGGTCAATCCGGAAGATCTAGACACACACCCAATTTTCTGCTTGGGGTTATGGACAGTTTGGGGGTTCTTAATGATGGAAGGGGCTTCAGAGCTCATTGGCCAAGGGACCTGACCAGAGGGCGGCAGTGCGGCAGGCAGAGTGGGACAAGGGGTGAAGTTAAGTCCCGGTGTCCCCACTTGCTGTGTGTAACCTTGGGCAAGTTGCCTCAGCCTTCCAAGACTCAGTTTCCTCATCCGGAAAGTGGGGAGAGTATAATTAATGATGTGAGGACCTGAGATGATGCAATGCAATGTCAGTGGCTGGGCACAGGCGGAGGCCACACTGGAGAGCAGGGCATGTTAGGCCACGCCGGGTTTGAAACCCACGCAGGAGCCAGGTGACCTCGAGCACAGGGCTTCACTCCTGTGTGCAAACGAGATCGTAAGTCCCACTCACTGGGTTAGGGTGAAAATTGGAAACAAGATACCCAAGGACCTGGTGACAAGTGAGGCACATAGTGCACGTATAATAGACTGTGGTCTCTCTTATCACCCTGGATCTTTGTAAATCTATTTTAAATAAAGCCTAACAGCCTCTAAGAGAGTGCCAGGCACTTAGGAGGCATTTGATAAATATTTATTGAGTGAAGAGCCAAGTAAGTGTATCTGAACTCTATCTTCAAATGAACAACCCTGAAGAAATGGCTCAGCCGTCCACCCCAAACATACCGCTTCTCTACACACAGGCGTGGGGTCTCAGAGAGTGCCCCATGCCAGCTCCTCTTCCCAAAACAACGTCACAATCACCCAGAGAAAGGGCACATATCCAGGCCAGTTGCTGGGGCATCAGCTCAGGTGCTGGAGGGCACTGGACAACTTTGAATGTGGCCTTACTTCCTCCAGTGAGCAACCGCGCTGGTAATTCTGCCTCTCAGTGGGGAGAAGGGCCCCTTCCTGTAGCAGTTCTGGTCTGGGCTTTGAGCCAGCTGCTCTCTTGCGCCAGACAGTTTGGTTCCCAAACTTTCCAAGGTCAATGCCATTTTGGAGATAACAGGCCAGGTTCTGAAGGATCCTCGCAGGAAGCTGTCCTCAGCAGCCCCACGCCAGCATCCAGTGCCAGGCTGGGTGCCGGAGAACACCGCAGTCTTCAGCCATAGTGTTTAGTGAGCACCTATGATGAATCAGAAGCTATTCTAGGCATGGGGGGTGCAGCCAAGATCTATAGAGGCCCTGTTCTCATGGCTGAGTGGAGGATAGACATTTAAACACACACACATAATCATAAGCTGTAGCAAATTTCAGGTAAAAACCAAAATGCCCTGTAAGAGAATGAAGAGGAGCAAAGATCAACTCATGAAATCCCTGCAAATAGCCACAGACATGGACACAATTAGTGTATCACAACGCGGTTTATACACCAGAAATCTGCAGACAGCCTTTCACATCCAACATTGGTGTGGACTAAACCATGGCTCCCCCAAAATCCATACGTTGAAGGTCTAACCTTCAGGGTGGTAGAAGGGGCCTTTGGTAGGTAATTGAGGTTAGATGAATCATGAGGGTAGAGGCACCAGAGAACTAACTCTGTCTGTATCTCTCTGTCTCCCTCCTTCTCTCTCCTCGCGCCACATGCACAGTGAGAAGACTAGAAGGAAGGTCCGCACCAGATCTCCACCATGCTGATGCCATGATCCAGGGCTTACAGCTTCCAGAACTGTGAGAAAATATATTTCTGTTGTTTAAGGCCCCCAGCCTGGGATATTTTGTTCCGGCAGCCGAGCTAAGACAGGAAGTGGCCATGCAATGGTGCAACCGGTGCGGGTGGTGCCCGAACTACCCCCCCAGGTCCATCTGCCCTCAGCCCCCCTGCCCACCGCAGAGCCTCTCATCCCTGCCTTGCCACGCGAGGCCACGTGAGTGCAGAAATGCTGCTTTCCCCGCTCGTGTATGTGGAAACATGTGTGTTACAGGCTGGTCTCTCACCGCAACCCTGTGAAATAGCAAATAACAATAACACACCCTCTTTTGTTTCCCATCCTGCTGGTGGCCTCTCTGGTGGGTCCTGGGCGTCTGCGTCCACACTCATTCCCTACAGAAGCTCTAGATGTTGACGTGCCACAAACTTGTCATTTCCAAGCCCTATCCTCTCAGACTCCGGAATCGTGTCCAGCGGCCCATGGGGCGTCCCCACACGACTCAAGTAGGCAGCTCACACTGAGCTCACACTCGGCATGGACGGGACCAAACTCCCGAGAGCCACGCCTCCCCAGCCCTCCCCCCTCAGTCGGTGCCAGGTCTATCCCTCCGGGGCCTCAGGTCCCCCCGGAACTTGGAGTTCTAGATTCCTCGCTTTTCTGGATGCCCCCATCTGGCCCATGTGCGAATTCTATTGGCTGTACTGTCAGGCTATGTCCGGAACCTGACTGCTTCTCACCTCCTCCACTACCACCGCGCCGGCCCGACCCCACCATCTACCACCTGCCGGACGCCGGCAGCCTCCTCACTGCCCTCCCTGCGGCTGACTCTCCCGCAGCAGCCAGAGCCATGAGACCGTGGGTCTGCTCTGCTCAAATGTCCCCATGTCTCCCCAAGTCACTTGGGGTAGATGCCAAAGTCCTCACATCGCCTGTGAGGCCCTCTGTGATCCACACCTGCCTCTTAGCACGCCCTCCAGCCCACCCCCCCACCCCCCGCTGCATTCCAGCCACACTGGCCTCCTTGCCCTTTCTTGAACCCTCCGGGCACGTCCCTGCCTCAGGGCCTTTGCACTTGTTGGCCGGTTCCTCAACCCAGAATGTTCTCCCCGCAAATATCCACCTTGTTACCTTCCTCAAATCGGCTGAGATGTCACCTCCTCTGATCACCTTTTTTGAAATTGCAATCCACCCCTCGCCCTGCCCTACTGTTGCATCTTTCCACAATGCTAACACATTATATAGCTCACTTATTATATTTATTGCCCGCTTGCTGTCTCTTTCTATTGAAAAAAATTTTCCATAAAAACAAGATTTTTGTCTGTTTTGTTCATTTTGTGTCCTCAGTGCCCAGAACAGTGCCTGGCAAACAGTAAGCAATCAATAAGTATTTATTGAATTAACACAAGTGCTTTGGGCTTCTTCTCTCTGTAGCTTATTCATAGCAAATGTAAACCCCAAAACGCTGAAGCAAAAAGGGGGAGAAAAGGGGGAAAAAACGAAAACTACTCCAGGAGACCTAAGGCTTGGGGGTAGAGCCTAGCCCTGCCGCTGACTTGCTGTGTGAGTGTGGGCATGTCATAGCCCTCTCTGTGCCTAGTCTCCTGACCACGGGATGACTGGATCTGGTGGCGAGGGCCTTCTCGAGTCTGACAGTTGACAGCCTCCTCCCCCAGCTTCCCTCCAAAACTCAGACTAGTCCTAACCCTATGAGGAGCCGGAGAAATTGGGTTTATTAAGACCTGTTGTGTGCAAGGAGCAGTGTGGACGGATCAGAGTGTCATGTCGGGCCCCATCATCTGCTGGCACGGGAAATGGGCTTTGAGCCTCAAGAAGGCTCCTCTATGTGGGTTATGGAGCCCTGGGAGTATTATTTAGCTTCTCTGTGCCTCAGTTTCTTCTGTAAAATGGGAATAATAACGATACTAGCCTCAGAGAGGTGCTGTGTTTCCCCCACGGGCCTGCCTCAGTGGGTCATTCCCTGTGAGGGGCAGACAGCTGCCAGGCACACAGAAGGTGGGCCGTCACGAGAGTGACCCAGCTGGGGAGCCAGCTGTGACCTCCTCGCGACAATCTCCCGAGCTCCCTGCGTTTCTCGCCTCCTCCTCTCTCTACCCGTGTTGAGCACGGTGAGGGAAGGTTGGATGGACCCAGGCACGCACGGGGCTCCGTGCGCCCCACCCCACGCCCCTCCCAGGAGACCCACAGCTCTGGTGACATGATTCTGGATGGACACTCAGGTCGAGGGCAGGGCAGCTCCGGGGCTGAGGAGGGTGGGAGGGCACGCCCCAGGCCTGAGTGGGGAGGGCTGAGCCGCTGGCCCGCAAACCACAGGTGCTGACTCATGGCTCCCTAGGATGCTATAAAGGAACGAGCCAAGGGGCTTCCTGCAGCTGGGGGGACCGGCTGGCGGGACTATGGCCCAAGGCACCGTGATCCACGTGGCCCCAGAGCAGCCCACCTATGCCGTGTGTGTCCTGGGCACCGAAACTCAGCTGGATGTGTGCAGGTGGGTGGGGGCGTTCCGGGGGGGGGGGGGTGTCCAGTGATGCTTGATGAGCAGGTTCTGCCAACACAGGACGTAGGGGTGGCTTGGCCCTCGGGCTGCAGCCTCTGTAGCTGCCGCCGAGGGAGAGGCTGGAGCGGTGAGACCGGAGTGGCCCGGGGACATGCCTGGACTCAAGGTGAGGGCTCCCCAGGGCTTTGCCATAAATGAATTCTCACAGGGCAGACAGGACCCTCTGCTTTCTCCGCCGTTGAGGCAATGGAGCTCAGAGAGGGTCTGTGATTCGCCTAAGATCACACAGCAGACGTGCCCTGGAAGGAAGTCTGGGCCCTGGACTTCATGGCCCACACCTGGTTCATGGGGCGGTTTGTTAACACCCACCTCTCAGCCGAGCCTCCCTCCACGTGTGCGTAATAACATGCCTGTGATTGGACAGGCTCTGGCATGGGAGGGGCTGAGGCAGGAAACCTGGCCCTGATGTCGGCCAGCTCGGTGGCCTTGGCCGGCCGACTGAGCCTCAGTTTCCTCATCTGTGAAATGCGGATAATATCCACTTCATAGGGTGGTTAGAGGGATTAAAGGTGAAAGACCATGAAAGCATGTAAGGACTCAGCACAGAGCTGGACATAGTGCTAGTGGTTGTTCATTCACTCATTCATCTATCCATCCATTCATTCATCCAGCAAATACCAGCTGAACACCTACTATGTGCCAAGCCTGCCCCAGGTCTGGTTAAATAAGATATGGCCTAGGGATGCTCGGCAGGTGCACGTGGTTGGTGTCGTTGTTAGTAGTAGTAGTGGCCTCCCCGGCTTCCCCCCCCCCAGGCTGGACATCTGGGATCCGGAATGGTGTCCACAGGACTGTCTGGAACATTTCCTTAGGGGCGCCTGGGTGACTTAGTCGGTTAAGCGTCCAACTTTCGCTTAGGTCATGATCTCGCGGTTCGTGGGTTCGAGCCCCGCGTCGGGCTCTGTGCTGACTGCTGGCTCAGAGCCTGGAGCCTATTTCAGAGTCTGTGTCTCCCTCTCTCTCTGACCCTCCCCTGCTCACACTGTCTCTCTCTCTCTCTCTCTCTCCTAGAAATAAATAAAAATATTAAAAAAAAAAAAGTGTCGCTGGCGGCCTGAACCTGGACAGTGGTGGAGCAGCACTAAGGGGGGCGGGGGGAGGGGCTCCTGGAGATGTGCAGGGGAAGGAGGAGGCTGACAGGTGGAGGAAAAAAAGAAATTGATGTCATCTGAGCCCCCCTGACCCCTCCAAGAGTGAGCTCCTCCTTCAGGGAGAATTGAGTCCTGTCATTCCACCCTCTGAACATCTCACACAATAATGGCTGAGATTTCCATCCCCTGCTGGCACATAACCCACTCAACAGCCTTATGAAGGCAGGCAATGGTGTCCTTCCCATTTTATAGAAGAGGAAGCTGAGGCTCTGAGAGGTTAAGTAAGCCTCCCAAAGTCACACAGCTCAGAGGTGAGGGAGTCGGGATTCAAACCCAGGCAGCCTGGCTCTGGGAACCTTCCCTCTCCCTTCTTACCTGCCCTTGACAGCAGCCCCCCACTCCTGTGAGCACCTTCATCCCATTTCCTGTGCAGCCACCACGCTGACTGCTGCTTGAATTCTCTTCCTGAAACACAGATGGGATTAGCACGCCCTCCTCCCCAGCACAGCCCCCCTGACCCCCCGCCCAGCCCCTGCATACCTCCCACCGCTTAGCTCAGCCCCTGCCCTCTGCTCCTGGGCTCTGGGTCCCCAGGGTTAGAGACACAGGGGTGGGGGCGCCTGGGTGTCTCAGTCGGTTCAGCATCTGACTCTTGGTTTCGGCTCAGGTCAGGATCTCACGGCTCATGAGTTCGAGCCCCACGTTGGGCTCTGTGCTGACAGTGCGGAGCCTGTTTGGGATTCTCTCTCTCCTTCTCCCTCTCTGCCCCTCCCTTGCTCTCTCTCTCTCTCTCTCAAAATAAAAAAACATTTTTTAAAAATTAAAAAAAAAAAAAGACAGAGTTGTAGAGGCAGGAGCAGACCCAGGGCTGCTCTTAACAAACGTTGCTTGTGATTCCCATTCTGCGTTTGGAAAGGTCTTTTCCTGCAATGGGAAATACACTGGTTATATTCAAACAAAAGACCACTGACCGAAGATGAATATTGAAACCCGTCGAGGGCTTTCTGTGGTGCCTGTGGCTGGCGTCAGGGAGGAATCATGATCCCTGCTCTTACAAGCCGGGTCCTTCTTTCGGTGATTTCCAATCCAGAAACCCTGCAGAGTAACACTATCATCATGCCCATTTTAGAGATGAGTAAACTGAGGCTTCAAGGTCATGCAAAATGAAGGAGGCAAAGCCAGGAAATTCAAACCCAGGACTGTCTGACCCCAAACTCACACTGCATCTGTAGCACACACCACCTCCGTGGGCTGTGGGGTCACCTCGCTGGGCACTGCAGCCTGGCTGGTGGAGCTCACGCAGCTTCCAGAGGGCTCAGAAGGCCCAGCATGGGGTGGGGGCGGTGTCCAGAAGTCACCAACCACACAAAGATGGTGGGCGCTCTGACGCCACAGTCAGGGGGCGTCTCCTCTTCCTCCCAGTGTCTCCTTCTCAACAGGGAACGTTCAATGCGACTGCAGGGAGCATAAGCAAGTCTCTGAGCCTCAGAGTACTCATCTGTAAAATGGGAACACTAACATCTACCTTGCCGGGTTGTGGCGAGGATTCAAAGTTATACAAGGCATGCCAAGTGTCTGGCAGGGTGGTCCCCCTTCCTTCAAGGACTGCGTGACCTACTTGATTATGTGCTGCCTGGGGGGGGGGGGGCGGTCGTAGGGAAAGAAATACTGGATGCGGGAGTTGAAGCGATGAGGGCGCTGTCTTGGGCTCCAGCTCGCGCTGCTGCCTCTGCAGAGGCTCATAGAAATTACTCGGAGATCAGCTCTGGGTTGTCTTAAAGCACCACGCACAGCAGCTCCCCCCCACCCACAGTGAAAGACCCTCTAAGTTTATGAAAGCCCCTTGTTTAGGGATCTGAGAGGGTCTGAAAAACAGCCAAAGGAAGGAACGCACATCCCAGGTCCAATCCCTGTGGTGCCACTTCCCAGCTGGAATTCACTGCTCTGAGCCTCAGTTTCCCCATCTGGCAGACAGGGTGGCTCTAGGGCCCCGGGAGGTGGCAGACCTGCCTGTCCACACCCATCGTCCCACCCCTGGCGAGGAAGCCACGTGGGGCAGAGCGAGGCGAGGGAGACACACCGCCAGCCCGGTGCCGCGTGCAGCCCCCCTTCGCCCCCCGTCTCGGCCTTTCCGTTTGTGTTTGAACCCCTGGTTCATTTTCCTGCCGTCCCGAACACACAGTGTGTCCCTCTCCTGTCTCGCTCCGGTGATGCCCAGCTCGCTGTCCCTGGAGGCTAAGAACTTGAGGTTGACTTTGCCGGATGGCGTGAGGGCTGGCGCCAGGGTGAGCAGCCCACAGAAGGGAATTGGGGAGCAGAGACCAGGAGAGTGTTGGGGGAAAGGTGTGTCTTTCTTCATCGCTTCTCCTTGGTTCTTCAACACTTACTGCAAAACTTTATCTCCTCCTGGGACCCCTGGGGGGCTCAGTCGGTTAAGGGTCCGACTCATGGTTTCGACTCAGGTCATGATCTCACTGTTTGTAGGATCTCACTGTTTGTGGGATCAAGCCCTATGTTGGGCTCTGTGCTGACAGTGGGAAGCCTGCTTGGGATTCTCTCCCGCCCCCTGCTCTGCCCCTCCCCTGCTTGCGCACACATGTACTGGCTCTCAAAATGAATAAATAAACATTTTTTTAAATGTTTATTTAAAAAATTCATCTCCTGAAGAAAATATCAAAATATCAATGACTGGGGCTCCTGGGTGGCTCAGTCGGTAAAGCGTCTGACTTTGGCTCAGGTCATGATCTCGCAGTTCGTGGGTTGAAGCCCCGCGTCGGGCTCTGTGCTGACTGCCAGCTCAGAGCCTGGAGCCTGTTTCAGATTCTGTGACTCCCTCTCTCTCTGACCCTCCCCAGCTCACGCTGTCTCTCTCTCTCTCTCAGAAATAAAGAAAACATTAAAAAAAAACAACCAACAAAATGTCAATGATTGTCTCTAAGTTGGTAAGATTCCATTCTCTTCTCCCTCCCTTCCTTTCTTCCCTTCCTTCCCTCCCTCTTCACTTCCTTCTCTCCTTTCTTCCCTCCTTCCTTCCCTCCTTCCTTCCTCTCTCTTTCTGCCTCTCCCCTCCTTCCTTGTTAGCCTCATATTAGTTATCTATCACCGTGAGACAAATTGCCCCCAAACCCAGTGGCTTGAACAATATTGTCTGTTCTCTCACGGTGCTTGTGGGGCAGGAGTCCTGTGTGGCTTCCTGGGTCCTCCGCTTCGGGGTCCCAGTGGGGGACACCTAGACACCGTCCAGCTGTCAGTGAGACCGAAGTCATGTTAGCAGGCTGCTTCAAGCCTCCTCACGTGGTTGTTGGCTGGACTCAGTTCCCCGTGGGCTGGTGGACTGGGGGCCTCAGTTCCCTGATGGCGGCTGGCTGGACGCCTCCCTGGGTTATCTGCCTCGGGGGCCTCGCCATAGCGCACAACATGGCGGCTCACTTCATCCAGGTGAGGAAGCCGGTGGGGGGAGGCAGAGAGAGAAAGGGTCTTTTGTAACCTCACCACAGAAATGACAACCCATTGCTTTTGCCACTTTCCATTGGTTGGAAGGCCATCACTAGGCCCTTCCCACCCTCAGGAGGAGGGATTACAGGTGAGCATGAGCACCAGGCGTTGGGTTGTTGGGGGCCGTGTTCGGAGTCTGCCTATCACGTACTTTCCTAATCCTCAGTAAGGAATACACACAGCTTTTGATACAGGGACTAAAAACTTTGCGACGAAAATAAAAATGGAAAACGCAATCATGACACTCATGTCCTTGTAGCTTGTGGAGTGAGCCCTACCTCCCCAGGGAGCCTCCTAGTTCCTCCACTGTCTGTGGGTCACTCGCGGCTACAGAAAGGGCTGCTC